AAAGAGGGACCTAAAGTATTGCAAAGGTGTACGCAAAGGACTGCAAAAGACAATTTAAAATAAACTTTAATGAAAAAACTATTCCCTGCTGGGCACTGCATGTGGGCCTGCCCCATCTCCTGCAGCTCACACAGCCTGGCTCTCCACTCACCTGCCACCGGCAAACAGGGAAGGGGAGGAGACAGCAAATAACTGAACCCGATAGTCCTGCAGAGAGCCTGACCTGCTACAGCTGCTGCTGAACACAGCACCCATATTCCTGTAGCTGAGGAAAATAAAGGACCACTTGTCCTGCCTCATTCCTCTGCATCCCAGCTGCTGGAAGAGCTAAGGAAACCAAAGGGGGAGCTTGTCTGTAACAAAGGCTTTACCTCTGGCTTGCATCCTTCTGAAGGTTTGTTTTAGGGAGATCAGATAGCTGCCAGGCTCCTCAGCAGCTGTTGCCAGCTCATCTTCAAGTTTAAAAGGCATGAGAAACATACTGCGCAACCAAACCGAGTTCTTTGGCTGACTTCCAGCGAGGCCTGAAGGGCTGCCTTTTTCTGCTTTCTTCATTGCAGGAAGCCTGGAGTCAGCTTTAGGTGTTTTATGCTTTCGTTGGGGATCCAGTGAAGAAAGCACACACCCAATATCAGACTTAAGGGACAGTGTTACAGAATAATATTTAATAGACAAAAGAAAGAATGACAGTTTTAACGTTACGAGCAGGAACTTCAAAAAACTGGAGAATTCAGCAGGGGAGCCTCCAGCATCTCCCAGGGAGGGACATTCCCACTTCACCTATATTGCCTTTTCTTTTTTTTAAAACACAAAAATACCTCCTGCCAGCTGGGGACGGCACATCCAGGCACAAGCACCAAAGCACACTCATTAAGGAAAGGAAAGCGGCACCGTCTTTGCTGACTTGCAAGTTCAGAGAAATCCAAGACCAAGGAAACCCCCCGAACTCCCGAGCAGTACTTTGGCTTTGTACCCCTCATACCTGCATTTATTACTAAGAAGTGAAGAACGGCGTCCACTTACCGCTGCGGGCTTTATCTCCTCCAGTTTGGGGGCATCCAGGGACTACACAAGTTCCTCAGCACACCACAACTTTGAGGGAACACGCTGCCCAGAGCCGGAAGAAGTGAAACCGGAGGCGGGGAGGGGCGCGC